TAAACTTGTTAAGGTAGAGTCTAAACGCAGGCTTTGGCTTGCCCGTCCAGAAACATCTATTCTCGCCTTCTTCCCTAGGGTTTCTATCTTTGTTACCACTTATCGGTAATGGCAACGGTTGTATCAGCACCGGCGGCGTCGCAGTCGCGCTCCTCCAAGACCGAATCCTACGTGGACAACAAGAGGAAGGAGGATATTCGTCAGGCTAACATAAATGCAGCTCGCGCCGTTGCGGACGCCGTCCGTACAAGCCTCGGGCCGAAAGGTATGGACAAGATGATCTCGACCGCAAGCGGGGAGGTCATCATCACCAACGACGGAGCTACCATCCTCAACAAGATGGAGGTCCTCCAGCCGGCTGCCAAAATGCTCGTCGACCTATCCAAGTCACAGGATGCTGCCGCTGGAGACGGTACTACTACTGTTGTCGTCATCGCCGGCGCCCTTCTTAAACAGTGCGCCTCTCTCCTAACTCACGGTATCCACCCGACCGTCATCTCGGATTCTCTCCATAAGGCCTCTGTTAAAGCTGTTGATGTCCTCACTGCCATGGCCGTTCCAGTGGAGCTATCTGACCACGATTCTTTGATAAAATCTGCCAGTACTTCATTGAACAGCAAGGTGGTCAGTCAGTACTCGACCCTGCTAGCTCCTCTTGCTGTGGACGCTGTTCTCTCTGTGGTGGATCCGGTAAAGCCTGATTTGGTAGATTTGAGGGATATCAAGATTGTGAAGAAGCTTGGAGGCACCGTGGACGACACAGAGATGGTTAAGGGTTTAGTTTTCGACAAGAAGGTGAGTCATGCGGCTGGGGGACCAACCAGAATGGAAAACGCTAAAATTGCTGTTATTCAGTTTCAGATTTCACCACCAAAGACTGATATTGAGCAGAGTATAGTGGTTTCAGACTATACTCAGATGGATAGGATACTGAAGGAGGAGAGAAATTACATTTTGGGGATGATTAAGAAGATTAAGGCCACAGGTTGTAATGTGTTGCTGATTCAGAAGAGTATCTTGAGGGATGCTGTGACGGATTTATCTCTGCATTACATAGCCAAGGCTAAGATTTTGGTAATTAAGGATGTAGAGCGTGATGAGATTGAGTTCATTACCAAGACATTGAACTGTTTGCCCATTGCAAATATTGAGCATTTCCGGGCAGAGAAGTTGGGGTATGCTGACCTTGTGGAGGAGGTTTCTCTGGGAGATGGGAAAATTGTGAAGATTACTGGGATAAAAGATATGGGAAGGACTACAACAGTGCTTGTTCGTGGTTCAAATCAGTTGGTTATAGATGAAGCTGAGCGAAGTTTGCACGATGCTTTGTGTGTGGTTAGGTGTTTGGTCAATAAAAGGTTTCTGATTGCAGGTGGTGGTGCACCAGAAATTGAGCTGTCAAGGCAGCTGGGTGCATGGGCTAAGGTGTTGCATGGGATGGAGGGCTACTGTGTCAGGTCTTTTGCTGAGTCTCTTGAGGTTATTCCCTATACTCTAGCTGAGAATGCAGGGTTGAACCCTATAGCAATTGTCACAGAGCTGAGGAATCGGCACGCACAAGGAGAGATTAATGCTGGGATCAATGTGAGGAAGGGACAGATTACAAATATTTTGGAGGAGAATGTGGTTCAGCCACTGCTTGTGAGCACAAGTGCTATTACTTTGGCAACTGAATGCGTGCGGATGATTTTGAAGATTGATGATATTGTTACCGTGAGGTAGTTTTGTTTTATGAGGATTAATGTTCTTCCCTAGGCCCTAGTTCTCTTTGTTTGCGTCTGCTGTTTGAACTATTGGTTTTGTTGCCTTTAGGATTCACTATTTTGAAGAACTTTGAATATTGAAATAGTTTTATAATGCTAAACATTTGCTTTGCACTTGGACATGTTATCTTCTATGGTGGCTCTTTTGGTTGTGTTAGTATTTAAATTGTTCTTCTTATATGGATTATAATATGGATTTGGGCATGATATCTGTTAATTTTCAAGTTATATGTAATTTCTTTAAAGGATCTTCTTTAGGTATTAGGATTATTGAGAAACAATGATCATAAAAGTTATTACATTTTGGAGGGTTTTATAATGTTCTGTTGACTTTTAGCAATCGTGTTTAACTTAGAATATATTAGTTCTTTGAGCTATTTGGAATAAATACAGGAAGCCAAATCAGGTTTCCATGGGCACATTTGTTGAGTTCCGCTTCACTTATTTAGGACTTCTTTTTAGTTGAAAATTACATCAGTAGGTTTTTCGTATCTATATGGATGCAATTTACAGTTTGCATTCATTAAAACCACACCTTGATAATAAATTCATACATGACTAACTTCTTTTGTCAACATGTTGGCCTTCCAGAAGTTTAGATGAATTTTTAGATATTTCAAATGCATAAATGAAAAAGAACTAGAAAACTTAATGTTGCTTTAACAGATATAGGCACAACATGTTGACACCTTTTAAGCATAGATAAGCTTATATCAGGATGCAATTGACTAGTTTTAATTAGTTATAGCTTATTGATGGTGTCGTCGTAGCCTTTTTTGTTTTTTTCTTTCTCTAGCAGTCTAGTGTAAGTTAAGGAAAAATTGTTGAAATTCAGTATTCAATATTTGGCTTACCATATAATGGTTATCAGTGGTTAGTGGTTACTTGCCATGTTGCTTGTATGGGCAGCTGATTGGTCTAGAGAACTCATTTCAACTTTTTCTCTTTTTGGAAGAAATGATGTGCTTTCACAAACAGGAAAAAACGCTTGAAAGAGATTTTTTTGCCACCCAATAAAAAAGCCTTCTGGTTCGTTTTTCTTTCTTCTTTTTGTGGACACTTAGTTTAGTTTGATGTATTAAGTTTGAGAGGTCTGCTGAATTTTAATACCCTGACTTTTTGCCCTATTTTTGAACTTATACTTTGTTAACTTACTGTCTTGATGAATACCGGGGATGGGTAAGGAATTTGTTGGGGTTCCTTGTTTTATGTGACTGGTGTCTTTGCTTAGGGCCCAGGTTTGTACAGTTAACTGGCAAATTGGGCATGGTTTGCATGCATGAAGTAGGACTGAAGGAGTAAATATGGGTGACTTGTTTGGGTTTACCTCTGAGGGTGACACTTCACATCAGAAAAGATGTGGATTTAGGAGAATATGCACTTGAGGAATAAAAAGACGACCAAAACCACTTGTTAGCAGTGGAGGAGGTGGCCAAATAACGTATTCTTCATCTAATGCTGAGTGAAAATGGCCAGTTCATGTTTGTCAGGTCAGTCTGTCACCATGAATTTGGTGGTTTCTCTTGTTGGAAAATTTCTACTATGTAATAGAATTTGATGGCAAAGCTGAACACGTTAATAGAAGATCCATTCCATCCTTTATTGTCATTTGAGTACTAGTAATTTTAGTGGGCCACTTATGGTGGAGTTCTACTCTGGAGCTTGTAAAGGGGGTGGTTTGTAGATACCTGTGAGATTGATGGGGCAATTGTAAATCTACTTTTTCATTAACACAATTTCACTATGTAATCTTTTCTTCTTCTTCTTACTCTTTTTAAGAGGAAAATATTTCCTTTAACTTCTCTTTTTTTCCAATGGATCCTCTTTTAACTTTTTTGATATAGGATTTATTGGACAGTTTTTTCTCTACTTTTCCAACGTCAATTTGTTAACACGGTATTGAAAGAATAACAATCTCAACAAGTACTTCATTATAAAAGTTATCAATATTTTGTATATATTTTTTTAATTAGTTTTTTAAGAAAAACATAGACTTAACCCATATGTACCCCTTAATTCTAGTAACAGAGAAGATGTTATGTTTGACTATCACTTATGTGAGAAATATGCCTCAAATCTATTAAGGGATTGTCTAGTCTGTTGCCTTAGGGTAAAAATTAAAAATGTATTAAATATGTTTTTTTTGTTATAAATTTGTATTGAAAAAATAAAAGTTAATATATAATTTATTAATTATTTAATTAAATTTATTTAATACTAAAATTAATATTAATTTTTACATTAATATATATATATATTTAATGCAAAAAAACAAATACTTTTAACGCGTGCCGGGCACATATTAAAAAAGTTCATCTATTAACTAAGGGTGAATTTATTTGAATCGTGTTGTTGTGTAGTTAATAACCTTAAATTTTTAAGTAGAGTTAACCTAATAACCTTAAAATCTATAACTTATAAGTTAAGGGGTTAAATAAGGGCTTAAACTTAGTTTTAATTACTCTTTCTGTTGGTATCACTTAATTACTATTTCATTTAAATAAAAGTGATTTAAATTAATTGTCTTATGTTAATTATTTAAATAGTTCAATATTAATCTTATTTTTAGTGAGAGGAAAAAATCTT